GGGGTGGATTTAGCCATGGATATTATCTCTCAAGTTATCCATGACTGTGAAACCTGTGCCGCTATTAAGCAGGCAAAAAGGTTGAAGCCCCTATGGTATGGTGGACGCTGGGACAAATATAAATATGGGGAGGCCTGGCAGGTTGATTATATCACGTTGCCACAGATCCACCAAGGTAAATGCTATGTGCTTACCATGGTGGAAGCAACCACAGGATAGAGACATATTCGGTACCGCATGCAACAGCCCAAAACACCATTCTAGGTCTTGAGAAGCAGGTTCTGTGGAGACATGGCACTCCAGAGCAGATTGAGTCAGACAATGGGACTCATTTCAAGAACAGTCTAGTGGCCACTTGGGCACAGGAGCATGGTATTGAATGGGTATATCACATTCCATATCATGCACCTGCTGCAGGAAAAGTAGAAAGATGTAATGGACTGTTGAAGACAACTCTAAAGGCACTAGGTGGGGGAACTTACAAAAATTGGGATAGAACTTAGCCAAGGCCACCTGGCTAGTAAATACTAGAGGCTCTATCAATCGAGCCCAAGCAGAATCCCTCCACAGTGTAGATGGAGACAACGTTCCAGCGATCCATCTAAAAGGTATGTTAGGTAAGGCCGTTTGGATTACTCCTCCCTCAGGCCAAGACAAACGCATTCATGGGATTGTTTTCGCTCAAGAGCCCAGAAATACCTGGTGGGTTATGAGGAAAGATGGAGAGATCCAATGTGTGCCTCAAGGAAGCCTAACCCTGGGGAAAAACTAATTCAGTGCCTTAAGTTGTGTTTTACAGGAGACCAGACACCAGACGAAAAAGACCTGAACAAAGCTGATACTGGTATCCAAGGATGTCCGATGATGAGCCAGCCTAAACCAATGAGCCAGCCCTAAACCAGAACTGTGACTGTGACGAAAGGGCCAAGAATCCAAACCGAGCTGCTGTTGATGCTGGTCTTCAACAACAGATGACAGCCTTCAGAAAAATAAACATGGACTATATATGTATATATATGCGCGGGGTATGGGTAAATGCGAGACACAGGTGTTGCGTAAAGAAATAGTATGGAATAAGGGGTGGAGAATGTGATGGTTTCAGTCTAGGCCTTCCTGGAAACCAGCTTGTAACCAGGAAGGAACTAGGGTAATGACTTAGGAAGTATTCCATGCTATTCCTTTCTGTAACACAACATATAAAAAGGCGCAGGTAAGAGAGTTCGCTCTCTTCTCTCTTCCGGTGGCTGAAGGCGACAGGTCTCTCTGTAGACAGGTTTGCTTATATAGGCCAGGGCCTGCTACTCAGACCTGCCGTTATCTCCGGTCTCTCCAGGAGGCGTGGGGGAGTTGGCTGCTGCCTTGCACAGCTCTGCTGTCCCGATCAGGGAAGTATTTAATTCGGTTTTTATATTTATTGACTAGCTCTCTATTAACGGGTATATTTAGGAGATATTTGGGTTTAGGCTTCTTTTTATCCCTGTTTCCCCCTCCCTTTTCCCTTTTTTCCCCCCTCGGGAGCTTCCTGTTGTGGATAATATATTCAAATTATATATATATAATTGTAAATATCTATTTTTGATAGAATCCCGTTTTGTTCAAACTTCTTTCAGTTTTTTTCCTGTGGTTCATTTTTTTCTTCCCTCTCTGGGAAGCAGGCCTTGTTGTCAAGTTTCGGAGACTTGGCAGGAAGCCAGCTCGAAACTTGCACACCAGTATAAAATTATTCTCAACACAGTGAATAAGTTTCTTGAACAGGGTTTGTGTTTTGTACCTTTTGCCTTACATGTGCTCAGAATTCCAGCTTTGGAGTTATATATGCTATAAAGTTGATCTCTTACCTTACAACTTTACTGACCGTTACCAGTTCCTTCTATTTTTTCAATTTTAGAAGGTTTATCAACAGACAGAAACCAGCCTCACCTCCAAAAAAAACCCCTCCCCAGAATAGAGAAGAAAACAAAGCAAAACAAACCCTTCTCTCTTCATTTCATAGTTTTATTGAGCCTAACATCTCATCACATATTTCCCACTTACTTATCTTCCTGTCAACAGGCTGGATTACTTGTAGCATTTCCTTTCTGTGTAGACAGAACTTTGTTGCATTCTTTGACAGTGGGAGGAATAAATAGAAGTAGCCAAACAACTCAGGAACACAAAACTGGATAGGAAGAAAAAAAGAAAGAAAAAAAAAAATAACCCAAACACTTTCTTACTACCTTAGTACTACCAATTTTTTAAATTTAAAATTTAAATATAGTGATTACATATTTTCTCATTCTAACTAATCTCTTATTGTTATCTCCTGCAGTTGCACTGAGAAAAAATTACTAATTTTCTAAATTTGATCATATCTTAAAGGTATTTTTTTCACGGCCTTTATCACCACTGGACTCATATCTATACCTAGTGGCTAGTATCACGTGGGCTACAATTTTCATAAACACTTGCATACTTGCTATGGGGGAGTGGGTTATGCCTTTTCTAATTTTGGTTAATTTTTTTACAATCCAAGTAGAACAGGATTCCTTTTTGTGCTTCCATCAATTATTGTCAAGCAAAGATTGCTACCAGTTAATTAATACAAAAACTTCTGTGTAAAGTATCACACAGTACAGTGAAATATCAGGACATTCTTTAAAAAAAGATGCAGCGTAATATTCAGACCTACCTGCAGCTACCTAACCAAAATACAGCACATGGCATATAGGAAGGTGAAGTTAGGGAATGAGTGGGTGGGTTGGGACACATGCTTGTTATAAGTGAGCATTTACACGTGAACATCAGCAGAAGCAACATCTATCAAAAATGCCCTTGACAGTCCTGCAGTATCCATAGGGAGTGGATCTCTGGCAATGGCTCAGAGCACAACTCTGAAACCTGGATCATCTCTTTGGTTTTTTCAGAACACTAGAAGCCTAACACACATGGACCTCATAACAGGCTCCCAAACTATAACATATTTCAAGTTTTAATTAGGTAGACCCCTAAACCGAAGATAAAAGCCATCTTTACTAAAAGGGATGTAATTTAGATGAAAGATAGTGAACTACATATGAACAAGTAAAAACTTTACCTCCAGCATAAGAGAATGTAATGCACTGGCTGAGAATGAAGCTGAGTGGGTATTTTTCTAAAAATTATGTGGAAACCTATGATAGCAAGGTCCTAGTGATATCCAGCATTTTCACCCTAAAGTTATATAGGCGTGAGCTTTTGTTTTTCCTCTCTGTTTAACAAACACTCTGTCAGAAATTTTGTGAAGTGTTTAGTCTTCCCAAGGAGAATTTTCCTACTGTAGACTGACCCTTTATGTATTTATCCATACCTTCAAATGCAAAATATTGCAGATTTCAGTTTTATATTTATGCAGTTTTATCTGCCTCAGACAGAAGAAGAGAGAATATAATTGCTGGAAACATTATATAATACAAACTGAAGAGCCAGATACATCCATATTGATTTGGTTTTTGTTGAGTTGCTAGTTTTTGTAACAGACTACACTTAAGAGGACCATTTGTACTTGTAGAAAAATCCAGTAAAATTGTATTATAATAACAATTTCCATGTGGAAAAATAAATCTTATATATATATCAGAAAAAAATTAACTAATGATTATATTTTTATTGCTTGCAATTCCGTCTGACAGATATTTTCAAAATGGAACCTCTTGCTGATCCTTCCTAAACTACATATCTGGGCTGTAGATCATTACATCAGCCAAACAATAGTTACACTAGGGAAAGATACGATACTTGAATGTTTTGATATCTACACAGTCCAGTCACACTGACCTCCAAAATCCAGCACAACTCCACAGGGACTTCTAAGAAACAGTATATACTTTTCTGTAGAAACAACAAAGTGGAAAACAGAAATATAAACTCTTGTAATACCTCAGGGACTTTTTTGGTCATACATAGTCAGAGTTATTTTCCACTTTATACCCCTTCTCCCCACCCTTAAATCACACCAAGCCAGGTAAGAGAAGCTATGGAGAACAAAACTTAGCAGGAGGTTCCAGTATGCTACAGCATAAAATGTTCTGACAACCCAAGGCCCAAGACATACAGCAAAACAAGCTGTCACTACAGGTTACTACAACACTCTTTACACTTTTTTTCCATATGCAGAGATACATCTTCTTCCTCAAGTGAAGTTCTTAACACTACTTTCTTCTTTCACATCCCTCAAGATTACTCCTGTAATGACACTGTGTCTTAAATGGATGGGCAGTAAGGGGTTGGGTTACAGTAATTTTACAAAGTTTGTTCATGTTAACATATAACTGATGTTTCCTTTATTTTGAGTTTTCCTTGGTTTTCCTAGTGTTGATTACACACACTGGTTGGATCCTCAACAAACTGTAAGTTGTCTGGGGCAAGGTTACCTCTTTTTCAGGTTTAGGCACACAACATAGTAACATACCAGAGCATCTTTTTTTTATTTTATTCTCGTATGTTTTAAAAAACATCTTTCTCAATGAAGTGAGCGTTTATTAACTCCAAGGAGAAAATCTTGCACAGTATATTTTCCTTTTGTAGTGTTATTTCACAGAAGGAGAAGGAGGAGAAACACATAGGAGAGAGAATAAACACTACTGACTCACAGCAAATGGTCACCTCTTCAAGTACAACAGCAAGGGACAACCTGACAAGAAAGAATAAAGCACAAGTTTAGCACACATTTTACCAAGTGCATGGAATAGAAGCACTTGCTTTGTTTTGCATTAAAAAATGAACAAAAACCCACAACAAACGAATCCACAAAAATGTAGATATCATGGAGGAGAAACAAAATAACATTTCTTACAGAAGTCCAACAGCTGTAAGTAACAATTAGGTGATACCTGCTTTCTGCTGAACAGTCCTATGAAAAGTAGTTTAGATAACTGTATGCAAAAGTAAGATAGGACAAAGCAAAAGCACACCAGCTTACCAAAACAATTATAATGCCTTTTTTTCTTTCTGTGGGAAACAACTGGCTCTAAACACAAATTATTCGTAAAAAGATGCTACCATTTCAGCCATGTACACAGGCTATTCATACACAGTCTGAGAACATTCACTGACAATAGTGAATGTCAATGTTTTGATTCAAAGGCATACTGCCAGCTATTACCAAAATTTACTTTGAAGAGGGTATGCAAAAATATAAGTGGCTTAAATGACGTCTGTAAAACAACTTTCTGCAATGATCTATTGTCCCAAGTTGCCTACATAAGACAAGATTAAGCCAGCTAAACTCAGGCTTTTCCCACAGTCTGTCATGATAATCAACCTCTTTAATTTTTGTAAACAGTACAGCTTACTAGATATTTAGATTCTAACTGCAGAGAAATGAAATAATGATACTGAAAGGGCTGATCAGGAACAATTGTCCCTCCTGCTAAGAAAAAGAAAAAAACCTTTCCTTTAAAGGAAAAAAAAAATCACCATATAGTGTCAGTAGAACTCACAGCTATAGAAAGACACTGAGACAAGAGCTACAAATATGTGAAGGTGGAACAGATGTTTTCATAATGCAACCAGAGGAATCAAAATTGTTTTATTTTTCTTCAAAAGATAGCAAGCTTTATGCTTCAGAGCTTCAGCAAATCTTTAGAAGACCAAGAATAGGCTTCTTGCCAACATAGAATGGAGATTATGGCACCGGCCCCAAAATTAGTTCCTCTGTAGCCTTTGCTGTTCATAACTGTCAGGATCAAAGTACTGGACAAGATGGATGTTAGCACCAACCCATTATGCTCGTTCCTGAATAAGCCTTCCTACAGTGCAGCAAATAATTCATTTCAAAATACTATTTTTAACACAGTGCCAAGTCCTAACATTCCCAACTCCATTCAACATATCTACCACCAACACTGTACAAATCAAATTTTGGCAAAGGTTTCAGAAGAGCATGATTTGATCAGCTGGTGGCAGGTATTTAAATAGGAAAAAGGATCTACATCTGTGGAAGTCCTTAGACTTCCAAAAGAATCTACAGCATGACTTTCTGCATCTCCCAAGAATAAGTTACTGACTGTCCTGATGCAGAAGAATTCCATTCAGATCTGGAAAGCAGATAACTCTTGAAAGCTGTAACTGGAAGGCAGCCCTATAAAAATAAAGAAAACAAAGAAAAAAATCTCAACTCTCCAGTGGGGGATATTAACACCAGCAAGGCAGTTAGCGAATGCTTTATTGTTGCATTTTACTGGTCAGCTATAAAACAAATTTTTACTAATTTCTGATTTAATAAAAAATTAAAACTAGAATTCAGAAATACTAATAAGTGCTAGCTTGAGACTGAAGGCCTGATTTTCTAGAACTGTAGAAAACCCACAACTTTCACCGTTTTCTACTGGTTCCAGTAAAATGTGAAGTCTTTGGAAAATTCAAGAATGTTGAATTAAACACAGCAACAACCATCAGTCTAAAAGAAATAATAAATCTCACCCTGTCCACTCTAAGCCTCCCACTTACCACCCAGCAGGCCTAGTTGTGTTTAATATAAAAGAAACACAGTACTTGACAGATGACACTTATATATTTTTCCAGCAGAGGAGCGAACAGACTCCAAGAGGTGTAATTTATCTGAAATTACCTTGATTCCAGGCAAGCTTTTCTTAATGTGTTTATGAAGACAAAGAGCTTACTTTTCTTTATGGAACATTTATACCAAAGGAAATTATAAAACTTAAAATTAAAGCACAAGTTTCCAAGCTGGATATTGCCAAAGAGGTCACCCCATTTTCTCTGTGTTTCACACTACACATATTATATATTCATAATTTTTTCTGAAAAAGCATCACAAATCTGTCTGACCTGTTTCTAAAAATACTTAAAAAGACACTGATTTTAAATGGTGTAAAGTAACATTGCCAATACAGGCAACTGTCAAAATGCTCTTTCCAAAAAAATCTGAAAGCATGTAACTGTCACCATAAGATAAAGAGGCCAAACATGTGATCTGCAATACTTTTCATGAGCTAGAAATTTCATAGGTGAGATGGGCATAACATACAAGAAAGACACTGAGGTGCTGGAGAGCATCCAAAGAGCAACAAAGCTGGTGAAGGGTCTGGAGCACAGATCTTATAAGGAGCAGCTGAGGGGGCTGTGGTTGTTTAGCCTGGAAAGGAGGGTGAGCAGAGAACTCTTTGGTCTCTACAACTACCTGAAAGGAGGTTGTAGCAAGGTGGGGAGTGGTCTCACCTCTCAAGTAACAAGCTATAGGATGAGAGGACATAGCCTAAGTTGCACCAGGGGAGGTTTAGATTGGATGTTTGGAAAACTTCACAGAAAGAATTGTCAAGCACTGGATCAGGTTGCCCAGGGAAAAGGTTGAGTCACCATCCCTGGAGGTATTTAAAAGATGTGTAGATGTGGCACTTAAAGACGTGTTTTGGTGATGGTGGCAGTGCTGGGTTAATGGTTGGACTCCATAATTTTACAGGTCTTTTCCAACCTAAACGATTCTATAGTAACATAAGCATGTAAACCCACACAGTTTTAAGAAGCTATTTTCTTCTGAATAAACTGTCTTTACTTTCCCATGGCTCACCACTCAACAGGTAATACTGTCATTATCCCTCACTGTAAGGTAATAATAATGAATTACAGAAGTCCACAGTCCAAGAGCCTGATTTTAAGCAATGAATTCCAAGAACTTGCACTAACAAAGATGATTGCAAGAGGCATCAAACCTGTGTGGAGCAACCTCAGAAGCCATGTGGGTTTTAAGCTGAGTTAATTCATGGATAGTGAAAGCTGTTTCCTTTTTGAGCTTCTGTTTCTACTAAAGCTTTTTAGCAATTTCAGTAGAAGGGAAGAAGCAACTGCTTCGCCTTCCTTGTTTACAAATTCTCCACTCCTTAATTCCCTTCCTTTCTGTTGCAATCCACTTTGCACTCCAGGAATCCCTTCCCTCCTGCCCAAACATGACCTTTCCCCCTGAAACTATGACTTGGAAAATAGGTTTTTAAGAAGAAAGGCATAATCTCCAAGAACAAAAAACTGGTAGGCTCATAAAAAGAATCTTCAGACTGGCCCAAGTTGCACATTTTGAATGCATTGGTTACATTGCTGCCCTCCACAGCTTATGTTTAGAAACACAAATTATGAATAAGGATACACAGAAGGAAGGATACAACAGAAGGAAGGATACAGCATACAATAAGGAGAGATTGTGGGTGCTTTATCTCTGGAAGTGTTCAAAGCCAGGTTGGATGGGGCTCTGAGCAACCTGATCTAGTAAGTGGCATACCTGCCCTTGGCAGGGTAGTTGGAACTAGATGATCTTTAAGGTTTTAATCAACCAAAAGCATGCTACGATTTTATGATTCTGTATGCTAATATTAGTCTAAGTAAATTCCTTATACATAGTTTCTAGAACAAATGCAGGACCAATCTCAAACAACTGCCTGCCTTATCACGTCACATCTAATCCAGAAGCACCCACATACCGAATGTGACATAGGAGTTATGGAGAGGGGGGGTAAAAAAAATAAAAAAAAATAAAATTAAAAACAGAAGAGAAGGATAACACAAGAATAAAAGAGGAGAAGTAGTTCAAAACAAGCCAACATTCAGACAGCATGGGGAAAAAGAATCACTACATGCATCTGCTAATATCTAAGTGCTTGACTAGGTGAACCTACACTCTTTTAATGCAACCTCTGAAATGCAGCTTTATCAGCAGTCATGCAAATAACAGAAACAAAAAGGTCAAGTGCTTTAGACAATTCTCTTCTCACCTGTGTTGACAAGGAATCTTTCTTCCTTTCAGGTGGTTACCTTCATGACACTTGTAACAACTTAGCATTCCTGAAAGCTATAACAGCTTACTAAAATTTTCAGTGGCTGTATTAGTAGATAAGAACTGTCAGACATGTGCAGTCATAATCCTGCACATATGCCCAAACTTCACACCTGTACAAAACAAAGCTAAAAAGCCTCAGATAGCCAGCTTTAGGAGAACTAAAACAACAAATACCATCTTCCTGCAAGTTTTCTTATTGATTTTGTGTCCAAAAAGTACAAATGTTGGTTCAGGATTTTCCTGTGGCTTTGGCATTTGTGCGTGTTTTCTTATGTGAATTCTTTGGTGTGCATTAAACTGAGTGATTACAAATCCTCAGTTGTTGAGGCACTCACAGGCAGTCAACCACCTTTGCTTTGACCTTCTCCTTCCTGATCTTTCTTTCCAACTCTTGGAGAGAGAGACCAGCAAGCATAACGGAGTCACAGCTTGTTTTCTCCCATTTTTGATCGCAATCTGCCAAAAGTTGCCACAAAAACAGTTCTTCAAAGATCCCAATATTCCCAAGGCAGGAAGAGTCTGGACAATATTATCCCGACATATTCTAGGAAATGCAAGTAAATCAAAGGTTTTTCAAAAGTATATAATTTGACCATAACAGGCTGATTTCAAGACAAGGATCAAGGAATAGCACCCTGCAAACATGGCTAACAAACCTACCATAAAACACTTGTGACTTTGTAGTCACAAGTAGGGACACGAGTAGTCATCTCCCTTTAATGTCACTGTAAGAAAGCAGCTGTACCATTCCAGCTAGCATTCCTCAATCAATCAGCCAACCAACTTGGGGCAGAGAGCCGACAGGGCAAAGTTTGGGAAGAATTGCTGAGATGTGACAAAGGGTAATGGATCGTGTCAGCCGCTCTTAGTTGGAATATGAGACTTGGCTACAAGATATAGCAATGGTAGCTTTAAGTTTATACTTTTTTCCCTACATCAGGAAATCACACTGACAAGTTATCACTGCATCATTAAAAATACCTTTAACGCGTAATTAAAGTACAGCCACAACAACATTAAATGCATTCTCATAGAAACAAACCACGCTAATGCATCTCCAGATTTGGTAGCAAGACTACTGCCACATTGTAACTCAGTCTCAGCCTCTCAGCCTTTTATTCACCTGATAAAACGCGAATATTATGATATAAACTGGGCGGTGACACGGGAGCACTTGGTAACACACATGAACTGCATTAAAGAGGTAAATAAATAAATATTAGAAAGAATTATTAGAAAAAATTAGAAAGAAAAACCAGCACGGGTTCACACATCGTGCGATTTCATCGATGTGACAGCACCGGTCTTCACCGCCGGGGCCCGGCCCCCCGGCCCCGCTCCGCCCCCGAAGTGACCGCCCCCGGGGTGACCGGCCCCGGCCCCGGCCCCGGCCCTGGCCCCCCTCCACCGCCGCCGCCTCGGGCCCCCCGCTCCTGTCCCCGCGCGGCCCCTTCCCGGCACCGGCACCACCGGCGACCCCCGAACCCGGCCCCGCCGGGATCCCTGCGCCGCCGGCGGGAAATAGTCCCCTCTCTCCTCCGGCCCCGCTCGCCGGGAGAGCCCTGAGGCGCGGAGGCGCGGCCGCGGTCTGGGAGCGGGAGGAATCCTTCCTTCTTCCTTCGGCCGCGCCGCCGGAGCTGCGCCGGCATCCCCGCCCCCTCGGCGAGATCCGGCCGGGCCGGCGCGGAGGGATTCCCAGCGCCGGGGGAGGGGGGGCGCGGCGGTCGGGGGGAGGAGGTGCCCGAGGGGGGGGCGGGGAGGGGGCAACATGGCGGCTACGTATTAACTTCCCCCCCTCGGCAGCCAGCGCTGCCGCCGCTCTCCCCCGCTCCCAGCCCTGGCATGCTGGGCGTGATGGAGAAGGGAGCGGAGCTCTTGGGGGGTAAGAGCCGGGCAGCCCCCAACGGCGCCAAGAGCAGCAGCCCCTCCAACGGGCACTACTCGGAGCCGGAGAGCGGCGGCGGCGACAGTGGCGACGAGCACGGTGCGAGCCTGGGGCCGCCCCGCCAGCGGCGGGAGGGGGGGTGGCGGAGGCGGCGGGAGGGGCGGCGAGCCGAGCCGAGCCGCCTCCCCCTTCCCCTTCCCGGAGCCGGGGCTCCGCCGCTCCGTCCGTGCTGCGGCCGAGCCGCGGCCGCGCGCGTGCGGGGCGGGGGGGCGGGAGCGCGCGGCGCGGCCCCGCGGCTGCCCCCGCGGTACTTAGCGATGGGGAGGGAGTGTCTCCCGGGAGCCGCCGCCGTCCCCATTGTTCCGCTGGAATAAACTCCCCCTTCCGCCTCCTCCTGCCCCCTCCTCGGCGGTCGTCGGGGCTTAATCCGCGGCGGCGGCGGCGGCGGACGGGGGGGCGGCGGGGAGGGGAGGTGGCTTATTCCGCACGGCCGCGGCGGGGGCTCCGCCAGCCCGCCCGCCCGCCGCACGGCGGGAGCTGGGACGGCGCCCGGGAATACTCCAGCCCGTAATTTCTCTCCCCCCTTTGCCTTGCAGATGTAGGAATGAGGGTCGGAGCGGAATACCAGGCGCGCATTCCTGACTTCGAGCCCGGTAAATGGCTTTTCGGCTGTAACCTGACATCTCCCGAGGCGGGAGGGGTGGGCTCGGTGCCGGGGCGGGCTCGGCTCGGCGCTCCCCGGCGGCGGCGGCCGCGGGGTTGTATTTAGGTTGCTTTTGAGCCTTTGTGTCGGCGATCCGGTGCCGGCGGCGGGAGGCTTGGCCGGGGCAGCATCTGCGCTCCGTGCGCCCCGGGGGCGGGGGGGCATCGCGGAGTGGGATTCTCACTTCATTATCGGCCTCATTATGTGCATCCGGCGGGAGGCGGTGAAGCAGAAAAAGGTTGGATTCCCCCCCCCTCCTTAAACCGTAACGCACATAATACATTAACCAGGTGATTTTAAAATATTTGACGAGGGGTGATGGATGTTCTCGGGCAAGGGTGGGAAGTGATGCGCCCTGCCGGAAGCGGAGCAGACCTTGGCTGCGTGCTGGAGGCGCTGGGTGGAAGATGCGCTTGGTGGGAAACTCCTGCTCCTGGTTTTGTGTGCTGTAGTAGCCTCGCTAACCCCGCCGTGGCAGGCTGAGCTGCTCTCCTCAGCCTTCCTTGTCCCCCCAGCCCCGCCCCGAGGAATACTGGGTACGCTCGCATAGCCTGGTACTCGGCTTTAGCGAGTCAATCGCTAGAATGCTGTCTTGCCTTACTACACTGAGCAGGGAGACCGGAGGAGCGTTTATCAGTTTTGCTGTAGTGGTCAGATGAAGCCTATCTACTTGCCTGTTCTCCAGACGGGCTCTATTGGTGTCAAATGATTTCTCACCGGAAGAGGATTGCTCACATAGTGCCTCCTAAAGCTGGAGAGAGCCCCTCTTGATGGGCGCAAGCCCCACAGGCCAAAGAAAAGGCCGGGAGAAAGAAAGGGGGAGGGTGGGATTAAATGGATGCATGATCTTGGCATAAGGGAATGCCTTTCCCCTAGGAAGGAGCACGTAGTCTAGGTCTCTTTGTTAATAAGGCTAACTGCTTACACCCTTTATTTTTACATTGCCTACATAAAAATAAACACAGATAAAAATGATTGTTTCTAACCTGCAGCCAGGGCTTGTTTTTCCTACAGGCCACTTAAATTAGAAAAACACATAGTGTTTGTTTTTCTTTTGATTAAAGGAACTCCTCAGCCCTTGTAGGGCAACTGAGGTTTTGTGGTTTCAATTTTGTAAACTGTATATGCAATAGTATCATTAACTGGCATCATTGTAACTGCAGAACTAATTTTATGCTCTCTTATAACCAGATCTTTTAGAGCTCCTAAGTGTTTCTGGGGGATGGAATTCAACTAATGCCCCTTTCCCCAATAACTGGAACTAATATATACCCACTTTATCAATTTCCTTAATGATGGAGATGCTTATTTAAGAAGTCCTGAGTTAGAGGCATAATGTATAGTATTGTCCTTCTTAATGTGTCTGCTTTGGTTATGAAGGCAAGAAGGTAGTGACTTTTTTTGGAACACTTAAGTCTTACAAAATATGAAATAAATAAAAAAGTCCAAGTGTAAAAGTACAGCACATACTTACCAAGTTAACGGATTGGTTATGTGAGGAGATCTCAGCAAGATCTCATGCTTTCATCTGATTTTTTTTTTTTGATGGAGTTTATTCTTCTGGTGAGTCTTGAGGTATCATTTCTCAGAGAAGTAATGCAAAGCAAATCCATGCTCTAGAGCTACATTTAGGTTACTTTTTTGTAGCAAGTGAGGTAACATGCTCCATTGTACTTCTAGGTTGCATATACCGACACAGACACTATCTCTGATTAACTATGTTTCTTCTTGAAATGGCTTAATACCCTTTTTTGAGGGGTTTACCTGATACTTTAGAGTGTGTGTTTATTTGTGATACTCCCAGGGCTGGTTTTTTAAGCCCCTTAAAACAAATAGGTGGGAGAAGGTAATCAATGGTGGATGAAACTAGACATAACTCTAAGACACAGTCAGCCCTCTGATAAACACTGATGACTGAAATGAGTAGAATAAATACCAATCCTTTGGTCTCACTTTGCCTTTGTTGAAAAATACCCATAAGCAATGCTTTGCAACAATGCATTGAGGAACAAAATATTCATAATCAAGTTATGATGGTAGTAAATTTTTTTTTTAAACTGAGTTTATATAAAAAATACTTTTTTAAGAAAAAGCAGATCAACTATTTCTCAGTATTTCTTGGAAGAAGTGGATTGTGGTTGGAAGCAGCAATTAGGAGAAGTTAGTTTAAACATACTCTCTTACCACTTCCCACACCATACCCTTTTTACAAGCAAGCCTTCAGACAGAGCTTAAGGGAAATAGCATTTTTAATTGTCATTAGGTATTACTGCAATTTTGTCACTTCAAAAACAATTTTAATAAGGAAATTTAGGAGGTTTATTTTATCTAATTTATTGAGTTAATACACCATCTGCCCTCTGGATTTATCTTCTGGTTTTCCTATAGTACTTTGTATTCTTAGTGAAAATGTTTCTGCTTGTACTTTCTGACCCACCTATATATATGTAGCAGGATGTATCCTGATGTTGTGGGCTGCTTGCATTCTCTTGGAAAGCATAGTGGAGAATGTACCATGCTGCTGTGTCATCCACATATAAGATAACTGCTAGAGAAGTTTATTCTACTCGGATTTGGACTTCCCAAAGGTTTTAGTATGAATTTTACTTACTTAATGCTGAAATATTTGTTTCCCATTTACCCTCTTCTCAGGGATGAGGTTGGGGCTGTCAAGAAGAACATTTTATACCTTTTAATGTCGCTTATGGAACCCATTTCTCTGTATGTCCTTATAACTTTTCTCCCTTTAGTCTTCTAATATGAAAACAAGCTTTCTTAAATTGAAATTATATGGTGTGGTGAAGTATATAATGTTTTCCATTTATTTCGTGCCATCTGTCCTCATATTCTCTGTTTTGTTTTGTTGGGTTTTTTTTATTTATTTGTTCATTTACTTATTTCCAATCCTTAGTTTTAGAAATTTGGGGTTTCCTCCAGTTAGTTTCCATGGTTTTGTTCCTAGCTTGGTTCAAAGCTTAGTCTTAAACAGAGGATGGTACATTGTATGCTGGAAACCAGTATACTTTTAAATTTCCATGGTGCCCTTATTATGTCTTGTATGCTTCTGAATTATCATTTTATTCTCAGTCCTTGGAGTCATGCACAGAGCTGCACCATCCGTGTGTACCCAACTTCTAATGTGAAGCTGAAGTTTACAGAGCGTCAGTTTGCTGCTGTAATTTCCCTGTTCTGGAAGTGGTGGAGAGTGCCTGTTGGTCATCTTCAGCCAACTCCCTTTCCTAACTGGTATTGGCAGAGAGGTGTATCAGCTCTTCTAGGAGCTTCTCTTAGGAGACGCCTCTTCCTAAGGGACTTGAATGAGGCATTTGGGCAGAGGGAGACTTGTTATACTTCAGATGCAGCTCTTGGCCTTTGTCTTCCTTACTGGCTTACAACACTACTCTTCTAACACGCTCTGGTTAACATGTTCCCTGATATTTCCAGCCACTGTCCCTAATAAGAATGGATCTTGCAGATAAAGATCATGCTGCTTTTGAGGTACAACACGGCATTTTTGCTGGGAGGGGGGAGCATTGCTTAGGGCACAAAGGGCAAAAAGCTGTTCTCATAAAGGTAAGTTATGGTCCTGCATATGGAGAGGGAGAGATCCCTGTACTGTAGCTAGGGACATCCTGTGTTGGGGGCAGGATGCCTTCCTTCAAGCTACCTTTATGCATCCCATTATTCCTTTGTCATCCTTGCTTTCCTTTTGGCAGTGTGAAGAAGCCACCTGAATGGAAACAGTTGTCTGTTTGCTGCTGGGGTAACAGCACTGC